TGCTTCCTGGCCGACCGCCCTCGTGTGCAACCACTTCAGCTTGGACTGCATCACACTGCAGTCGCACGCAAACCAGTGTGTGTGTGTGTGTCAAGTACTGGGCGTTGTGGTGACACCTGTGTGACAGGGTTCCAGTTGGACCTGCTGCCCCTCTGCCCCCACCCCTCTTTCCACTGGAGGAACAGAGGAAAGGATGGGGCTGTAAATAGGTTGCCCTCTCCATGGCTCCCAGCACCACAAAGCTAAAGCACTTAAAACTAAAACCAGCTGACATTTAAGCACCAGGCATCAGGAAAGGTAGATCAGATCTGGTCGTAAAGAGTGGACAGTAAAAACATTTAGTCAGAAACTGCCTGACTTATTGCTGGATATTTATGTTTTTTTCTGTAATTGTTCAAAACATAGTCCCTTGTTAACGGTACAAAAGCATTTAGTTTGGATGGGTGTGGGGAGGGTCTGTCAGGGCCGAAATATTAAAAAATGTTTTTTTGTTTTTTTTTTCTCCCAGTAAATTGTATTTGTCGAGCAAATCGTTGTTTACTGTCTGACAAGAATGATTCCTTTAGCCCTTTTAAGTGTCGCCTATAGAAGTGATTGCCCCAGAAAGGGTGGAGCGGTGAGTGTTTTAGGAGTGTGTAGTGAGGCAGGTAACAGTGAAGGTGTGCTGGAGTGAGTTCTGCTAAAAACACCACACTTGCGTGAAAACACACGCAGGTTAAAAACATTTTTTGCTCACGTTCAGAAGTTGTTTCGTCACACAAAGAGTTTTTTTTCTTTCAAAAAGCATTTTCTAAAATCAAACCTTATTTCTGGGCTGCGCACAGAAACTTCACAGCCGCTCTAAAAACATCAGTATAAAATTTTTTTTTTGAGTGTTTCATTGATTCTTTCTTCCTCTGCTTAGCTAATAATAAAAACCGGGAACTGGGGGTGTCGACACCTCACAGTAGAAAACAAATAAAAGAACAAACAAGTTCAAACCTAGGTAACGTTTCTCCGACACTCTGACCCCCCCCCCCCCCCCCCCCCAGGGCCGATGGGGGGGGGG